TGAATTCTCTAGGAACATTGATTAAACATGAACTTGTAATGCTCTTAGAACTTATATTTCATCATTGAGAAATGAGAAAATTTGAAGTATCTAAGTAAGAAGATTTGATCTTTTGAGAGAAAGATGATCTTGGATTAGAGTTTAAAGTTCCACCATGAATGCATATAAATCACATAATCATATTCTTAGTGCTTGTTCATCGAATTAAGTTCATACCGATTCCCATAACGTCTTTTGATATTGAATCCAACGGCGTTTCCACTTTTGATTATCAAAGAGGATGGGAAAAACAAAGTTGGATTCAATATCAAAAGACGTTATGGGAATCGGTATGAACTTAATTCGATGAACAAGCACTAAGAATATGATTATGTGATTTATATGCATTCATGGTGGAACTTTAAACTCTAATCCAAGATCATCTTTCTCTCAAAAGATCAAATCTTCTTACTTAGATACTTCAAATTTTCTCATTTCTCAATGATGAAATATAAGTTCTAAGAGCATTACAAGTTCATGTTTAATCAATGTTCCTAGAGAATTCAAGATCATTTCTCAATGAATCATGACTTCTAGATGATAATCTTGTTCATAACATGCTTGGATTTCTCAATTCAAAACATGTTTATAGAATCATGATCAAGAATTAATTCAAGAACAAGCATTAAGACTCAAGATTTCAACACCATGAGCATATGAACACAATATCATCAATCAAGCACAAGCTTATTCATCAAACCAAATTCAACCTATCCCATAACAAGAGAACTACTCTAGAGCCATGAAATGATCAAGAGACATCATCAAATGATAAAAAAAACATAAAGATAGAGAGAAGAGAAAGAGAAAGCTTCTCTAGATCTTCAAGGCTTGTTCTTCATGCTCCAAGCCTCCAAATCTTCTTCTACTCTTTGTTTTTGTGTTTCTTGTTGTTGTGTGATCAATGAGAGCAGATTAAGGGTCTATTTATAGGAGTTTCTGAAGGGCAAAAGTAGATGAAATGATGAAATTCGTAGTGGCATGTTAGGTGAGTTGTCTCCATGATGTAAGCCATGATGTCAGCAACCAGAATTTTGCTCAGATTGTAACTGCTCGATGAAGGGCCAAATCTCCACCAAAAATTACGATCTTGATTTCTATGGAAAGCTCTTGATGTCTAGTTTACTGTGAAACAAACGGCGAAGCAATCCGAGCTCCCAATCGAAAGTTATGGAGGAGATAAGTCTGGGGGAATTTGATCGCACGAATCTTGTCGTATTAACTTGCATATAATTATCATGTTATTCTCATGCTTTCATATTTAGATTAGGAATATTTTGGTTTGTTTTTGGTGTGTTTCATATTTTGTAGGTGACAAAAATTATTTT